AGAACCTGGCTAAAAGAAACTCAGAAAACGCAGTGTTGGGAGCCAAGAACACCCGCCGACGCTGGATTGGCGAAGGCCATTATTCGTCCTGTGAAGACTGGACTGGTCTGGACTGGACTGGACGCACGATTGGTCTCGGCCACTACTGTCCTGTGCAAACTGAACTGAACTGACTTGACCAATCGCGGTTTGGGGGTGCAAGTTGAAATCCACCGGACGATGAACGACTTAACATGTAATAGCATATGTCAATTACTGTGTTGTCCCCCAGTTCCTTCGAAGATAGCGGCAAAATTAGCATTTATGCCACCACCGGCTAGTTACCAAGTATCTCCCTCAAGTGAAACTGAAGACCGCTATTTATTTACTTTTGCCGCATTTTTGAAGGATTCGTTTCTCCACTTTTTACCAGATAACACGGAAGTTACGAAGGCAAAAACTCGCAAGGGAAATACTATAGCTATTTTGTATATGAAAACAAACCCACACACTAAGCTGACGTTTCTCTTGAGTCATGGGAATGCCGTTGATTTGGGACTTATGGTGAATTTTATGCACGAACTGGGTACCAAGCTCAACGTGAACATAATGTGTTACGATTACTCGGGATATGGAGCTTCATCAGGAAAACCACTTGAAAAAAATCTGTACGCAGATGCCGAGTGCGCCCTAGATGTCCTAAGAACAAAATTTTCGGTTCCACTGGACCAAATTGTCCTCTACGGTCAAAGTATAGGTACCGTCCCCACTGTGCACCTGGCGACTTTGCACCGAGTGGCAGCCGTTGTTCTTCATTCGCCACTAATGTCCGGTTTACGCGTGGCTTTTCCGAGGCTAAAGCGTAATTATTGCTGCGATGTTTTCTCTAAGTAAGTGGTTGTTCATTTATTTGCTGATTATCGTTTAATCAATGAATGCATAATTCACCCGAGTTAAATCTTATGACATTCTATACTTTCCACATGCATCGAGCGTTGTCACTTAGGCTGGTACCTAATGTCTGAGCACTAATTAACTGCTCCATTTGCGTTTTTGAATGGTGTGAACCCTACGTACCCCCCATTAGAAACACGCATGTGGTTTAGACTGATTAGTCGTCTTAGATGAAAACCAAGGCGGAACAGCAGCCCGAATAAAACGTTCTAATAAAGGAATAGCACTTTCAAAGTTACGGGCGAATGAGGACAATAGATCAGAGTTAGGTATGACGGTAGACGGTTATGGGTCCACAAGCCAATCATGGAACGTTTTTCTTTTTTATAAAGATAATCGTACGTGCTTTGAACTGGGCAGCAGGAACTGGTTAAACAAATTTCACAGGAAAATTGGTCTAGGTAACAGTGAGTTTCAGTTTAACCAACCAATAAACATGCATTTCTGTGCGGCGCTTTTATTTGCTGCCTCTGGGCTGCCCATTTAGGTGAATAATAGGAGGAAAACAGGAAGGTTCAAAGTAGAATGGAAGAGAAAATTAAAAATTTCAGTGGACTAATGAAGCAGAGAAATCTAAGTAACAGACTAGTTATCGATATTAGTTGCAGGGATACCTCAACCCCATTCTCGCTAACGTTTACTCTGGTTTTTCTCGGATGGAGTTTATTTCTCGTATTGCATTCGAAGCTGAAAATAACTCGAAACTACTCAGCTATAGGGAGCTGTAGTTTCATGGTTATTTGCGTGAACTCACTAGCGCGTTTGGGTAACTAGATTATACTTGTTTCCTAATTATTAGCCACACGAGAATTGAAGATGTTCCTTTTTTGTGGTAAACCGCTGTATTTTCGTCCGGTTCAATATCACACCTAACTCATCGGGATCCTATGCAGTTCGCCACCCTAACGGTGTAGGCAGGTGAATTTTCTTGGGGAATTCACAACCGAGCCTTCGGCTAGCAAAAGCCTGACCCGCTAGGCAGCAGTGCGATTCGATGCGAGAGAATGGGTCATGGTACACGGTAACCAACATGGCATTTTCTAAATACGGTTTTAGTCGCTGGTACGTTTTTCTGTCAGATGATGGTAGGGAGGTGTTGTTCTAAGTTTGAAAACGGCGGTACCCACTGTGAGTAGCAAGCGTAGAGACCAATCATTCGATGTAGAAACTTGCTGTCCGCCGGAGGGGAATTCCACGCAGGGGACTCATGCAGTGTTGGAGAAGTCTCTGAGGTATGTAATTTATGATTTCTTTATGTGGGCTACCGGTTTTGCTTCATCCAGAGTGATGCGTTGAAAACAGGTGACACCGTTGGTAACCCGAAATGATGTTCGGGAGAACTGAAGGAGATTGCTTCGGACACGGTTTAGGGCTCCGCATGGTTTTTAATGGGAATCTGTTGGTACTTACTTTACTTTACGGCGACTGGCTCCTGGGAGAGGATAAGCTGGCTTCATGAATATCCCGAATTGCCGCTGCCCACGCTCGGTGATCTGCGGCGAGAACAGCGCAGATTTAGATTCAGCTTGACTTCCATTGTCGAACTCCGCAGACGGAACGGAAACCAAGGTTTTCAGTATTCTTACGTATCGTGTCAATCCAGGTTTTCAACTGTCCACCGTGTCGATAGCGCCAGTTGGGGCAGGGTAGCGGTGCTAAGACAGCTTTGGTCAGGTCGTTGTCAGACTTACGAAGAATGTGACCAAACCATTGTCGACACCGCAGTTGTATTGGCGTCCACAGTCGCACACGATTAAAACACCGATCTCTGACCACTTCATTTGAGAGTTAATCCCTCCACCGTACTCCCAGAATGATTCGTAAGCACCAGTGATCGAAGACTAATCTGCTACAGTTTTCGACTCTAAGTGGCCAGGTTTCGCAGTCCTATTGCAAGAAAGGACGGACTGCTGCGGAGAAAACTGGGATTTTTGTCTCGAAGCTGATTTCATTTCTACGCCAAAGGGGATTCTTCAGCTGTAAAATGCCCTTCTTGTAGCATCGACGCGCATTTGCACCTCGTCTTTAGTTTGGTCGTTGGGGAGTATGGTTGAGCCCAGGTATTTGAAGTTTTCGATGGATTCGATCGGCTCGCCGTTTAGAAGTAAAGCATTTTCGGGATGAATCGGGACTGTCGCAAATGTTTTGGTTTTTGATTTGTTTATCTCTAGGCCGATCCCGGAGGCCTATCGACTGATGTGGTCGACGATTACTCGGAGGTTGGACATGTCCTCGCCAAAGACGACAATATCATCGGCGAATTCTAAGTCGGTGAGCCATAAGTTCAGAGAGATCTGAACTCCCTGGTATCCTTCCTTCGAACAACCCATTATTCAGTCAACGGCTAAGTTGAGCAGCATTAGGGACAATGGGCACCTCTGTTGCACTCCAGATCCTGAATCTGATGGTACGCACTTTTGAAATCGAGATGTTTTCAACCATCACATAACTGCGGGTTAACATTTGAGTATCTAGCCGTGCGAAGCGGTTGATCATCTGAGTATAGTCAACAACCATTCGTCTCCTATGGTTTCTCTGTTTTGTAACGAAGGTATAGAACCAGACCATGGAAGAGCTGTCTACCACCAAGTTGGGTGACGGCGGAGCAGTTCAAGCCTCAAACCATAGGGTCTCAAACACTCCAATGACAGCAACTGAGGCACTGCACGCGATGGGAAGGTCGCAGAAGGAGAAGGGGTCCACGTGTCACCGAACGGTATTTTTATTGTATCATGCATGCTAAGAAAATTATGGCCAAGTAATACATCAGCACAGGTGGCGCACCACGGTGGGTCAGATTTTTTTCATAATAAATGTCCTGATATCGGATGGTATCGTTATAATACCTAGTAAGATGTAGAAATCGTCAGTCACTAGGATAAACTTTCCAACCGTAGGAGTTGACAGCGGAAGGAGAAACGTAGTTTTTGGAACTGCCAGTGTCCATCAATGCTAGAAGTTAAACGCCCTTAACAAAATCGGTAGTAGTGACACTCGACAAACGACTAGCGGCGGCAGTTAAGGAGAAAGACATTCAAGGACTGAGAGCGGATATAATTGATTAATGTGATGGTTTGGATTCACACACGTTTGAAGTGTCCAGTTTTGCCACATGCTTTGTGGATGGCGTCCTTAGCGGAGCACTAAGCACGGGATTTTATTAGCCACAAAAATAACACGCGTCTTCGAAAGCCACTGATCCGGGGTTGGTCACGTGTGTTCTGGGAAGTTAAGTGTGCCCTCTGCCTCGCGACTGCTTTTGAGCCATTTCAAGGGACTTTACTATGTCGTATGTAGACTGGAAAGTTAATGATGTTTGCTCCAATAGCATCGTACGGACGACGTGTGGTTGGGGTCGTTTTTAATTATTTCGTGCATGGAATCACAGTATTCTTCGGTTAAAACGGCATGCAAATTATAGTTTTTACCTGTTTTGATTTTTTTGATCAAATAGATCAATGTTTCGTCCAGCGTCTTGCGTACAAGTAGAAAGGAGGTACTGAACAAAGATAATATTTTTGAGACAAATGTACAGTGATTTCAGGAGACATTGCGTTGTCAAACGTCTTGTATTTAGGGATCTTTTCGTAAATAGTAGAGGGTTAGCCTAAATTGTTTGTGTCGTCGTACTGATTACGTTCTAAAAAGTTGAAGTTGGGTGGCTATTGGACCTGTTGTTTCGAGGCATCGGGGGCTTTCATGTCGATACCGAGCTTTCCCGGTTAAGGTTATCAGTCCATTATTAGTCGAATAGATTGATGCGTTTCACAACACACCAGCAAACGGATCCGTGTCAGGGAAGGCTCGTGGTTGAAACAGTTCGCTTTACTGGACTAGTAGTTGCGGCTCATGAGCTGCAATGGAAAAGGAACTTTATACAACATGTAATGGTAAATAGCAGAAGTAACAAATCAAGAATATCACACTGGAGTTTTACAAACGAGATTTTACGTTTGATGTGATACATTTGACAGGGACACTTAAGCTATTGAACCTAAAAATTATTTAGATATGTGAACATTTATTTTTGATCAGTGATGTAATGTTCCTCAGTAAAACATGGAAATTGATAGTTGTTTTCCTCATTCGAGTTGGCCACCAAGTTACACAGCTGGACCTGAATACGCTTCAGACACACTGTGACCTTATGCGTTAGTCGTATGTCGGATAGATGTCATTGTTCTTCTGTAGGTTATGTGTGCTAACGTTCAATCCGAGGCTACTAAATGATTTTTAGTAGCTAATGAATTATAACCAGAGGCTGCTAAACGATTATTAAAAGCTATTAAGGACGGCAAAACGTATATTTGAAGAATTAGAAGCACTTCACGAAGATGATTCGATTTCTGCTGGTTATTCGGAAGAGCCGCTCCGTTTTCGGTGTTGGAAATGTGATCGTCATAAGTCCAAGGTGAGTAACTTCAAACTCTGCTCCGTTTCATTATTAGGGTTGCTTCATTTCTCATTATAAAAATGCACCGAAAGGATCCTAGTGGATTTTATCTGTTTTGCTCTGTTTTGAACTTTACTGCCTCCCTATTCTAATCGTTGATTTTAATGCGTTGTTAGATTATGGGTGATAGAAGCAAATACAAGTAAAAAGGTGGAACTTCATGTGGATGTACCACAGGATTAATTTGGAGTAGAAATCGTAGTAAACGATGAAGTGGAGGCCTTAATTATGAATGGGATACACGCCAACTGTCCATTTTAAGCAAAGAGGCTCCAGTTTCAGTTGGTATTCAGAAGCAATAATAAAAGTGTTAGTCCATAATTTCTGTGTACTCACGAACCAAATTCACAAGATGACAAATTTTGCGACATTATCACCGAACTCGTTCGGTTGAGCCGCGGCTTTAATGTGATTGTACTGATAGATGATTTTAGCGCACAGGTCCTAAAACTGAGGGCGCTGAAGCCTGTTCAAGTCGTTTCGCCCAGTGAACATACAAATTTAGTTCTGCACAAACCATCCGTTTGTTATCTAGCACCAACATTCAACGCAGCTCTGGATGGACTGCAACATTATGTTCTAGTTCATCGGGAAAGTGGACTCAAATTGACTACATGGCCGCATGCTCCATTGACGTGGCTCAGTGCAATAATGCAGATCCTGTTGAACCACATGTGTTTATTCTGATCACGCACCAGTTTTAATGCG